AACCAAACTCTGTTGGGACCCAATATTTCGGACACCGAATTTTCGGTCCGGTTTTTCAGTTTTCACAAAAACCGAATGGATATTCAATCCTTGTATATTCAAAAGCTAGTATTCATCCTCAGGCTTTACTAGCAACTTGATCGTTTGTATCTACGATAAGGCGAATATATAGGCTCATACGAGGACTAAATCCTCTATTCCATCCGGTGTGGGATACAACAACAACAACATGAATCGATACATGATATCACAACCAAAAGGAAAAGAAGGAATAAAGATAAAAAGATAAGCTATTATGAAAAAGATAATATAAAAAAGATGAATATATATATATATAAATGATAAAATAAAAAGGTTGCAAATAATGCTTATAAATATATATATATATATATATATATATATATATATATATATATATATATATATAAGGATAAAAAAACTAGGAAAAAAAAAGATGGGGGAAAAAGATTATCACGATCACTCCTTCACGTGAATACCCGCCCTCCACTTAGTTCTCTCCAAAGTCATGCCCTCATCCAACCCCAGAAAAAGCATATCACTTCGAACTCCCCTAACCCACGTCTGTTTGGGTCTTCCTCTCCCTCTCTTCCCTACCTCTTGTCCACACATCTCAACTTGCCTAACAGGTGCATCACTCGGTCTTCTACGCACATGACCAAACCACCGTAGGCGCGACTCCCGCATCTTGTCTTCAATAGGTGCTACTCCCACCCTTTGTCTGATTGTCTCATTCCTCACACGGTCCTTCCTAGTATGCCCACACATCCAACGCAGCATGCGCATCTCTGTCACACTCATCTTATGAATGTGACATTGTTTCACCGCCCAACACTCTACGCCATACAGTCATGCAGGCCTAATTGCTGTCCTATAAAATTTACCCTTCAGTCTAGTCGGCATACCTCGGTCACATAGAAATCCTGACGCACTCTTCCACTTCATCCACCCTGTTCTGATTCTATGGGATACATCTCCATCTAACTCACCGTCCTTCTGAATTATGGAGCCCAAGTAACGGAACATATCGCTGACCGGTATCTCATAGTGTGGGATGAGTTATGTATATTGAAGTAAAACTAAATGGAAGAGTGGGGGCGGAAAGAAAGCAAAAATCAAGGGAACTAGTCGATGGAGGGATTCGAACGTGGGTGAAATGGAAGAGTTGGCACGTCATTGGTTCCCGCTGAGCTACTTCAGATTCTTGCTACTAAGGGACGCTCCATGTATTTAATACATTAAAGGGATACAAATTAAATAAAATCATTAAAACTATTATTAAATAAAAAAATCGGTTCGGTTCGGTTTGAACCGATTATCAATCTCAAAGAACCGGTTCCGAACCGATTTTTATTCGGGTCCCAACTTTCGGGTCCCATTAAAGTCGATTCGGTTTCGGATCGGTTTTTTTATTGCTCGGTTCGGTTTTTTTCGGTTCGGTTTTCGGTTTTTCGGTTGAAAATGACAGCCCTAGTTTGTACTCTGTTTCCAAGCTGAAAAATCTCCAGAAAAGAGCTCATTAACTACAGTAATATTTATTTCATATACATTTGTAGAACCATTTCAGCCTTTGATGCACACTAATTAGTAGTGCATAATTACACCTTTTTATGTTTGATTTATGTTAATTGTTTGACGTTTTATTTAGTTTGTGATTTCAGTTGTAATTGTATTTTAGTCTTTTTTTGTAAGTTGTAAAGTTTAGTTAGGATTTGTGGTGTTGGAAAGGAAGACTTTGAAGTGAAGAAAAAGAAGATTTGGCTGCCCAGGAGCAAATACCCGACCGGGTATAAACCCTGACCCGGTCGGGTAAGAAGTGAAAAACGAAAATGCAAAGAAAGTGCATGGCCCGGTCGGGCCCACTACCTCACCCGGTCGGGTGAGAAGTGACCGGGGACAACCCGGTGTGCAAAGATCACCCGAACGTGTAGAAAACCCATTTTTTGCACTAACCCGGTCGGGTCCCTTACTTGACCCGGTCGGGTCTGACTTGACCCAGACACTTTAACATGCCAAAGATCACCAGAACGTGGGGAAATATCTGATTTTGACCGGACCCGGTCGGGTGAGTACTTGACCCGGTCGGGTACCCGGCCAAAGGTGTTGAAAAACACCTATAAATAGCACACTTTTTCTTCACAAAAGAGCATCCCTTCTTCCAATCTCTCTAGCTCAGTTTAGAATAGCATTTCTTTATATTTTTCTAGCTATGTGTAGCCTCCAAATGAGGAGCTAAACTTCCATTCTTGGTTTTGCTCTTGAAGCTTGTTGATTATTAAAGTTGTGAGTTATTTTCTTAACTTCTTCTCTTTATTATTAATTCTTCCCTTAGTCTCATTCTATATTAATGTTGGAGGGTTGCTAAGTGACGATTAGTTAACGTTCCGACGTTAATTATTACTAGAAACGATCAACGAACCGATGGTTAATCGTTGGTGGTTTCACAAGTAAGTAACTTTGGTTTATTAATGCACGGTCGTGGTTAATAGACTTAAGAGGGATCAATTTTGTTGGTTAAACCGAAACTGTTGTGTTAAGGTTATCAATCTCAATTGATTTCATCAAGAAGTTAAAAAGATTGAATGCTACTATTATATCGGTATAAGGCGTTGTTCTATATTTGATTAATAGTAAGGGTTATTAATGAACGGTCGTTGTTAATAACTACCCTCGATGAATTGGAGATACTCCTCGATTGAGTATTCGAGAGGGGATAAGTTATAGATATAACAAGGATCGACTAAAATATATCAATAAGTGGAAAGTAGCAAAGCCAAGTCCCTTTTATTCTTGAATTAAACACATATAGGTTGTTCATCTTAGTTTTTAATTAAATTAAATCACTCAAACCAAAACCCCCCTTTTTATTCATTAAGTTCATAAAAAGAGAATTATACCTTTCCCTGTGGATACGAACTCTACTACACTATACTACGTATAAGTGTTTAGTATTGAATTTATTTTGACGCACCTTGACAAAAGTGCTCGTCAAATTTGGCGCCGTTGCCGGGGAAAGGCAATTAATTTTTCTTTTTATTTTATTTCAAAGAAAAATCAAAAAAAAATTATATATAAAGATTTCTCTTTTGGCTGAGCTTTGTTTGAGTATATGGTTAAACACCGATCTATAAACCAAATCACCTACCAAACAAAGCCCGAAACAGAACAAGCATTCGAGAGGTTCAGGAATCTATTTCCGAATACTTCTTCGGAGGAATCATCAAGTGCTAGTTCTCATTCTAGCGAGTCCGAAGAGTCCTTTCACATGGCTCTTGAAACAAGAACGTTAAGGGAGCTAACGGCTCCGAATCTAAATCAACAACCCTTATGTATCACTTTTCCAACTCTTGATACGGGGTCACATTCGAGCTAAAATCTGGGCTCATTCATCTACTTCCCTCTTTCCATGGCTTACGAGGGGAAGATCCAAATAAACACTTGTCGGAGTTCCATATTGTGTGCACAAGCATGTGCCCCAATGGCGTGTCCGAGGAGCAAATCAAGCTGAGAGCCTTCCCATTCTCTCTCAAAGACACCGCCAAAGATTGGTTATTTTATTTTCCCTCGGGGAGCATCAACACATGGGCTCAAATGAAAAAGAGCTTCCTTGACAGGTACTATCCCGCTTCTATCTCTTCAAGTCTCAAGAAGCAAATCAGCAACATTGAGCAAGCAGAAAATGAGACCTTGTATGAATATTGGGAGCGCTTTAAAAAATGATGTGCTAGTTGCCCATATCATGGATATTCAGAACAAGATCTCATTCTCTACTTCTATGATGGACTTGTTGATCAAGATAGACGCATGGTGAATGCGGCATGCGGAGGGGGTATTGTCAACAAAACCCCTTCTCAAGCAAGAGACCTCATTTCGGAGTTGGCCGAAAACTCGAGACATTACAACGGAAGGTCATCATCGAGACGAGTCATGGCAGCGGAATCCAACAACTCGTTGGAGAGTCAAGTAGCCGGCTTGACTTCTTTGGTCAAAGATTTCCTTTTAAATCCAAAAACCCAAGAAGTCAAGGTGTGCGGCATCTGTTCAACGCAAGGGCATCCCACAGATTCTTGCCCGACACTATAAGAAGAGAACTCCGAGCAAGTCAATGCTTTGGGGTTCCAAGGTCAAAGGAGGTACGATCCTCAAGGAAATACTTACAACCCGGGATGGAGGGATCATCCGAATTTAAGGTACGGAAATTCTCAAACAAATCCTCCTCCTCAACAATACAAACCCCAAGGCCAAACATCGAACTCGAGTATGTCCACCGAAGACATGATTCGAGCGCTGGCCGTTAATATGGGAACAATGCAGCAAAGCATGGGGCAATTCCAACAAACAATGATGCAATTCCAACATGAAACCAAGTCGAGCATTCAAAATTTGGAAACTCAAGTTAGCCAAATTTCAAATGCCGTAAGCCGACTTGAAGCAAAAGATTCGGGTAGGCTCCCCTCCCAAACTGAGCAAAACCCGAGACAACATGTCAATGCAATCATGTTGAGGAACGTTAAAAAATTGCAACCACGGGAAGTTGAGGAGGAGAAGCAAGAGGTTGATCTTGAAGAAGGCTTTCAACAAGAAGAGGAGAAGCCAACGAAGACTAAATTCCCTCCACTGTCATCATATGAACCACTCCCTCCATTCCCTGAGGCATTGAAAGACACGAGGAAGCTGAAGAATGATCGGGACATCTACGAAACATTCGTCAATTCTGAGGTAAACATCCCACTCTTCAAACTGATCAAAAGTGTTCCCCGTTATGCAAAGTTCTTAAAGGAACTATGCACAATGAAAAAGAAAAATAAACTGGAAGGGAAACAAAAAGTTGAAGTGAGTGAGCGTGTCTCGGCCATCTTTAAAAAGAAACTTCCCGAGAAATGTAGCGATCCAAGCATGTTCACTATTCCTTGCAAAATAGGGGATACCTTATTTTCTAAGGCCTTGTTGGATTTAGGAGCGTCAATAAATGTCATTCCTTATTCCTTATATAAATCCTTACAACTCGGCCCACTACATCAAACTGGTGTAGTGATTCAACTAGCGGATCGGTCTAATACTTACCCGAAGGGTGTAGTAGAAGATGTGCTAGTAGAGGTAGAAAATTTGTTTTTCCCCGTTGATTTTTATGTTCTGGAAATGGGAGATGATAACCAAACTACACCCATCCTCTTGGGTAGGCCTTTTCTGAAAACCGCAAAAACAAAAATAGACGTGGCTAATGGTTCATTAACTTTAGAGTTTGATGATCAAAAAGTAGAATTCAACATTTTTGATTCTACGAAAAAACAAATTAAAGACCAATCTCTTTGTGCTCTAAATGTTTGTGAACCACAGACCCCGAATATTTTTGTTGAGAAAAAAATGAGAAAATCAAACTTTTTGAAAAAGAAGAATTATTCAAATTTTCAAAAAGAGAATGGATCCCACCTGGGATTGAAGTGATACCAGAAAAGAAATCCCGGCCTTACTGGAGAAGGCCGAAAAGGAAAAATGAAACAAGGGATGTTCACGATCCCACATAAAAATAAAAAAATAAAATAAAAATAACGTCGTGCCGCGACATTAAATCAAGCGCTTCTTGGGAGGCAACCCAAGTTTTTATTTTTAAATTTCATTTTTTTTCCGGTTCGTGTGTTATAATTTTTTTCAAAATAAAATAAATTAAAAAAAAATGAACTGGGATTGGACCCGGCCGGGTAAATACCCTAACCCGGTCGGGTTACTTCTAAAAACTAAACACCCGGGCAACCACCCGGGCGAGGCGAAAAAAAAAACAAAAATTAATTTTACGCCCGACCGGGTAGACTTTTATACCCGGCCGGGCACCCTAGCTACACCTTTCTGCCTCGGGTGAACAGTTTACACCCGACCGGGTAGACCACTTCACCCGGCCGGGCCACTTAACAAAAACATTCTGCCTTGGTTCAATAGCGTTCACCCGACCGGGTAAACTACCCCACCCGACCGGGCGAACGGGAAAACAGACTATATCAGGTCGGGCTCAACCCCTCCCCTCCCACTTCTTCTTCCTCCCAAACACCAAAATTCCCAAAATCCACCATTTTCAAACACTTAAACCTTCGAATCTCCCTATTTCCTTAACCAAATCCACTAAAAACCCCATTTTCTTCATCTCCTCACTTCCCTCTCCATCTCTATACCCATAAAATCCCCCAAAACCTTCCCAATCAACCAAACCCAAAAACCCTACCCAAAATTCGAAAATCCCCATTCTTGGACATTCAAGGTCCGAAATCTTCCCAAAAATCCTCAACCAATACCATATTCTTACTCTCCTCACCATCCTCTTCAACCCCATACCCATAAAAGCCATCCAAATCCCACCCTACACCAAAGTCCGAAAATCCCCTTAAAAAAAATTCAATTCCAATGGCTCCAAAAAAATCCAAAGCTTCTTCTTCAAGGGCAATCCCACCGGTAGCGGGCTATGAAAGCGTGGAATTTGCGACGGAGGCACAAAAGCGATTATTCGAGGGACAAGCACAAAGGGAGGTAAAACAATCCCGATTCATGTGCATTACTACTCTAGCCCTCCTTTGGATTGATGTGATCATGCGTGATATTTTTGCAAGAATTGGAATGACTAGGTTGCTAGAAATGCAATATGTGACTTGTCCTCATTTGGTTTATGAATTCTTTAGTTCATATGTGTATACAAAGGATGATGATGATCATGCAAATGACACCATCACCTTTCGTTTACTCAATGAAAATCGTTCATTGACCAAAAGAGAATTTGCACATCATTTTGGCCTCCCTCTGTTTGATGAAGCTCGTGCTTATGATACGCTTGTGGGGTACGAGTTATGGAAAAGAATGACAGGACAAGGTGTGGTGGACCTCTCTAAGTTGAGTGTGAACTGTGTTCAACATCCGGTCTTCCGTATTTTTCTAAAATTCTGTTCAAATTGTTTCCTCGGAAGACCGAACAATCACCACACAAGAATGTGGGATGTGTGCGTTCTGGCACAAGCTGTTTTACCTGGACCAGAACCAGTTGACGTTGCCTCTATCTTATGGACCCATTTCAAAAATGTGGCAACGTCATCCGGACAAATTGTGATCGGGGGCCTAATCACACATCTAGCCACTTTATATGGTTTTGTAGACCTAGGCCCCATTACCCCGAAACAGCTCATTTGCACGTCATGGCTTGTGCAAAAGACCAAAGATTTGGCTCTATCTCACATGACACCTACCGGGGCACCAATCTACAACTGGTTTATCATCCCACGTCAAAACATAACTATCCATATCCCGTCACCTGACGTCCCCCTAGATATCGTGGGCCATGAAATCGGTGATGGTCATCACTACTGTCTCCCCGGGGCAATCCCGGCACACTATGCACAGGATGAACAGGATCAAGAACATGCTGAAGAAAACCCACCCCTGATACCTAACCCACCACAACAACAACCTGATGCCCCAGCCTACCAATACTCACCATTCGAGCAACAGATGCTCAATAACATGAACATGATCAACAACAACTACATCCAGCTTCAAGAGCGAGTTGATCAGTATAGAACTGAACAGAGGCATAGCTTTGAGAGGTTGGAGGAACAATGGCAGGAAGACTGGCGTAGATATGAAGAGGACCAACGGCGAACCTTTGGTCCGATATACTCCTATGTAGCACACCAGGGCTCCTTTTCCTCTATGACCACTCCACCTCCTGCACCATCATGGTATGACCCCTCTCAGTGGGGTTTCTTTGGAGGATCAAGCTCCGGTGGTGGAGGCTACGATGGTGGCTATGGCGGGGATCACATGGATGAGGACGGACACCAAGGTGGAGGTCTAGGCGGACACTAGGGACAGTGTCAGATCCTAAGTGTGGGGGTGCAGAGATCTTCCCGGTATGTTCACATTCACACTCTTTATTCTTGTTATCTCAAAAAAAAACGAAAGCTTGTTGAGTTGAAAACCCACAAAGGGCAGCTTAAGCAAAAATAAAGCAAAAATAAGAGTGAGTTTGTGAGATTTGAGAAAAATTAAAAAAAAAATAAAAATAAAAAAATGTGGGAAGCTGGGTTGAAAACCTGAAAGGGCACCTAGGCAAAATGAGAGAATGAGAGAAAGTTATTTCTTTTGATTTTGCAGGATCCTGAGGGCGATTACTATAGAGAGCTCGGATTGAAATTAAAGACCCATCTTTACTCTTTTTGTTTTGGAGATACTTTATGTATTTGTTATAAACACTTGTGGATGTTGGTGCTGCTACTCTTGTCATTTAGGACTTTTGGATTTGATTTGATTTACTCGATACGAGTAAAGGTTTAAGTGTGGGGGTGTTTGATGCACACTAATTAGTAGTGCATAATTACACCTTTTTATGTTTGATTTATGTTAATTGTTTGACGTTTTATTTAGTTTGTGATTTCAGTTGTAATTGTATTTTATTCTTTTTTTGTAAGTTGTAAAGTTTAGTTAGGATTTATGGTGTTGGAAAGGAAGACTTTGAAGCGAAGAAAAAGAAGATTTGGCTGCCCAGGAGCAAATACCCGACCGGGTATAAACCCTGACCCGGTCGGGTAAGAAGTGAAAAACGAAAATGCAAAGAAAGTGCATGGCCCGGTCGGGCCCACTACCTCACCCGGTCGGGTGAGGAGTGACCGGGGACAACCCGGTGTGCAAAGATCACCCGAACGTGTAGAAAATCCAATTTTTGCACTCACCCGGTCAGGTCCCTTACTTGACCCGGTCGGGTCTGACTTGACCCAGACACTTTAACATGCCAAAGATCACCAGAACGTGGGGAAATATCTGATTTTGACCGGACCCGGTCGGGTGAGTACTTGACCCGGTCGGGTACCCGGCCAAAGGTGTTGAAAAACACCTATAAATAGCACACTTTTTCTTCACAAAAGAGCATCCCTTCTTCCAATCTCTCTAGCTCAGTTTAGAATAGCATTTCTTTATATTTTTCTAGCTATGTTTAGCCTCCAAATGAGAAGCTAAACTTCCATTCTTGGTTTTGCTCTTGAAGCTTGTTGATTATTAAAGTTGTGAGTTATTTTCTTAACTTCTTCTCTTGATTATTAATTCTTCCCTTAATCTCATTCTATATTAATGTTGGAGGGTTGCTAAGTGACGATTAGTTAACGTTCCGACATTAATTATTACTAGAAACGATCAACGAACCGATGGTTAATCGTTGGTGGTTTCACAAGTAAGTAACTTCGGTTTATTAATGCACGGTCGTGGTTAATAGACTTAAGAGGGATCAATTTTGTTGGTTAAACCGAAACCGTTGTGTTAAGGTTATCAATCTCAATTGATTTCATCAAGGAGTTAAAAAGATTGAATGCTACTATTATATCGGTATAAGGCGTTGTTCTATATTTGATTAATAGTAAGGGTTATTAATGAACGGTCGTTGTTAATAACTACCCTCGATGAATAGGAGATACTTCTCGATTGAGTATTCGAGAGGGGATAAGTTATAGATATAACAAGGATCGACTAAAATACATCAATAAGTGGAAAGTAGCAAAGCCAAGTCCCTTTTATTCTTGAATTAAACACATATAGGTTGTTCATCTTAGTTTTTAATTAAATTAAATCACTCAAACCAAAACCCCCCTTTTTATTCATTAAGTTCATAAAAAGAGAATTATACCTTTCCCTGTGGATACGAACTCTACTACACTATACTACGTATAAGTGTTTAGTATTGAATTTATTTTGACACATCTTGACAAAAGTGCTCGTCAACCTTCTAGTTAGACTAGTTAGCTTTTTGTTCAGCTTTATTACTTATTATTGGTTCGGGGTATGCCCCTATATGAATTAATTATGTAGTATGTACATCCACATTTATGTGAGAATTTGATATATAAATAAATATGTTTCAAACTTTTGTTACTTATTAGTATTAAATTATATATATGTGTATATATATATTAAAATCAATGTATTATGTGTATGTTTTAATGATACTAGAGGGTCACAGAACTTTGTGATACCATAGTGTCATAACAATTTGTGATACAATGGTGTCATTATTTTGTGATACCATAGTGTCACAATTATGTGACACTTTTAGTGACACTTAAAAATTGTCACTAAAAGTGTCACTAGCCCCCACTTTCAGCGACACTTTTTTAGTGTCACGGAAACTTTTAGTGACACTAATTTGGTGTAACTATAAGACATTTTTCTAATAGTGTGGTTCCTTCATCTTCATCAACAATTAGAATTTTCAAACCACAACGATTGGTAACCCTTGATACTGCAACATACAACTGTCTGTGGGTAAATACCGGTTTCTTCAACAACAAACCAACCCGGGACAAAGATTGTCCTTGACTTTTGTTTATAGTCATAGCATATGCAGTCATAACGAGATACTGTCACTAGTAGAAAACTGGCTTACAGTGACACTTTTATAGTGACACTTTCTTATATATTGCTACTAATAACACAAAAGTGTCACAATTTTCTAAGAGTATCAAGTAGTGACACTTACATTTTTTTTACTATACGGAGCATTTTCTACTAGTGAACTAACGCAGGCCTAATTACAAACTAATGGGCCGGCCTAGCTACTACTCCATACAAAAACTTTTAGAACCGTACCCTAATTAACACAGGAGCTGAGCTTGCCCTTTTCAGACTACTCCATCGACTCCAGAACCGTACCCTAGCTATCGACTCCATCTACTCCATCGTCCATCGGTATAGATTGACGGCCGCCAGTCTTCGCGATTCTCCGCTCCAGGTCTGCTGCGCGACTCACCGGCAGTCCTCGCTAGGTCTTCTTCAGCGATTGTCGTCGATTTCAGAGGTACGTAAATCCTTCACTTTTATCATTTAATATGGAACTCCTTCACTGTTTTTGTAATCCCTCACATCAGATTCAGACCATGGTTTTGAAAGGCGTTTAGCGCTCGGTAATAGCGTGGAAGGCTTAAGCATCTTCAGCTAACAAGGCTTACGCCTTTATTTTGTTGAGGCGTT